TGCTGCTGTGGTGTCCATGATGTCTGTCCATCATGAAGGATGTTGTTGTTTGTTGTTGTTTTCTGGAATGAGACAGTAAATATGTATTATATCATAATTTACAGCAACGCAAGAAACACCTTGTTTCACTTACAGTGTTAGGTTCAGGCAAAAGTAGCTAAAAGAGCAATTAAACACACACACACACACACACACACACACACACACTCACACACATATAAAATACTTAATTACACACATTTGAGTAAATGTAATAAATTACTTTAATTCCTGTTTAAATGCAATTCATCCTGCCATACCTGCAGTGTCTTCAGACTTTGCCAACAAATTAAAAGTTGAAGCTTAATCATTAAATTATTATCTTTGTGTTAGATTTATTTATAAATCACATTTAAACACTGCTTGTACCAATTAAATAAAATAAAAAGTAACACGTTCTCTATCACCGTCATTAATCGGCAAACAAGCAGCAGCTTCATCTACCAGAGAGTCTGACGTTACGTTTTCTCTCTTGGAAACAGAACAATGTGTTAAATTGTAGAGACTCACCTGCAACACAGGATGAGTTGTATCAGCTGCAGCTCCTTCCTCCTCCTCGTGACTCCGACATGTTTACGTTTATCTCCGTGTTTCTCCCGTGTCGTGTCGTCACTTTTCAAAGCTGCATGCTTCTCAGTTTTTATCTTTGTGAAGTTCTCCCACACTTTGGAGGACTTGGGTCGAACAGTTTTCGCTGCGTTGGTCATTTGTAAAATTTACTTAATTTCCTTTGAAAACACTCTGCTCTGTTCAACTCGCGCTGCAGAGTTTTTAAAAAAATTTTTTTCAAACTTTATTTAGTCAGTCAGCATTGACAATGAACTGCAGGTGAACAAAACAGCTCCACAGCGCCGTGAGAGACGCTTAATCGCGCGACACAACGAATCGATAATGAAATTCGTTGCCAACACTTTTAATAATCGATTTTTATCGATTTTATCGATTCATTGTTGCAGCCCTAGTTGACGTGATGGATGTCGTAGCGGTGCTCAATAACTTTAAAGCCGGCGCATCAACAACAGAAACGTAGATCCAGAGCTTTAAAAACTCCTACAGCTTGTCTTATTGCTCTGGACCGATCTGAATTACCTGGTAAAGGTTGTTTACATGATGCTGTTATCAGTCTTTGCAACAAGCTGCTAGAAGAGACGTTCACGTTCAGATGATGTCGTTTCAAGTGCGTTAACAAGTTCGACGTGTTGCTGCGGCAGATCCAATCTCCGTGAAACAACGTCGACTCACAGCTTTGGATTTGTTCACTTGTCTTTTACAAGAAAGACACAATGTTCCCAAACAGGAGACCACAACAACATGCTAGGCTGCTAATGCTACATGTGCTGCGAGACTATGGCGCCATGCTGAAACACGCTTAGGAACTTTAGTTACGCGGCGCATAATCTCTCGTTAATAAAATTTAATGAGTGAAAAAATAACCGAAACAATACGCACGTCGACCGAACCGAACATGCCGTACCGAAACGGTTCAATGCACCCACGTGTACCGTTACACCCCTATCAGTTAGTGATGAAAATATTAAATCCTTTAGTACAGACTTGATTGTTCTCACTCATGCTCAGTATTTGTAGATGTCAACAAGTTTTTGATGATTTTTGTAGTATTAGTAACACGTTGTTCTCTTTTTGTTGAAGAACAAGTCGTTTTCTTGTTCCCATTCTGCAAGACAACTTCCCCTTCATCCAGAAGTCCTCCAGAGCTCTGGTAAGAGACAGCTACTGACACCAGCTCTGAACGAGTTCAGAAAAGAAAAACTTCTGCTTCTCTGTGATCTGTGTAGTTTTGAGTGTTACAACTCGCAGAATCTGCTTGCACCACCTCGAGTGCAGCCTGCTGGGGTCGCGTCTGCCTGCTTCTGCTCAAGTTGAATTAGTTCTTAAGGAGTTGTGTCTTTTCTACGCTGAACAAAAATATAAACGCAACACTTTTGTTTTTGCTCCCATTTTTCATGAGCTGAAAATCAAAGAACTAAGATATATTACACAACAGGTCTTTTTCACAAATATTCATTAATTTGTGTAAATCTGTGTTAGTGAGCACTTTTCCTTTACAGCGATAATCCATTCAGCTCACAGGTGTGGCATATCAAGATGCTGATTAGACAACATGATTGTTGTACAGGTGGGCCTTAGGCTGCCCACAATAAAAAGCCACTCTAAAATGTCTTGTTTACTTTAACTGTATTAGGGGGGTCAGAAAACCAGTCAGTTACTGGTGTGACCACCGTTTACCTCAAGCATTGCAACACATCTTCACATAGAAATGGTCCGGTTGTTGATTGTGGCCTGTGGAATGTAGGTCCACTTCTCTTGAATTGCTGTGCAAAGTTGCTAGATGGAACTGGAACAAGCCGTCGTATACGCTGATCCAGAGCATCCCAACCCTGCTCAATTCTTCTTTCGGCTTTTCCCTCTTCAGGGGTTGCCACAGCGAGTCATCCTCCTCCACCTCACTCTGTCCTCTGCATTCTCTGTCCTCACTCCAACTACCTTCATGTTCTCTCTAACTGCATCCATATATCTCTTCTTTGGCCTTCCTCTTTGTCTTTTTCCTGGCAGCTGCATTTCTAGCATCCTTCTACCAATATACCCACGGTCCCTCCTCTTAACATGTCCAAACCATCTCAGTCTGGCCTCCCTAAATTTATCTCCCAGTTGTTTAACCTGTGCTGTACCTCTCATTCCTAATCTTATCCAGCCTGGTCACTCCTAAGAAGAACCTTAGCATCTTCATTTCTGCCACTTCCAGTTCTTTCTCCTGTCTTTTTGTCCATGTCTCTGTCTCCAGACCATACAATATCGCTGGTCTCACCACTGTCTTGTAAACTTTTCCTTTGACCTTTGCTGACACCCTTTTGTCACAAATCACTCCTGAAACTTTTCTCCATCCACTCCATCCTGCCTGGACTCTCTTTTTCACTTCTTTACCACGTTCCCCATTTTCCTAGACAGTGGACCCCAAGTCCTTGAAATCCTAAATCCGTCTATCTTGCCAATCGATACAAGTCCTTCTCGCCCTCTTTAGTGTCCAGTCTCCCATACAACTCATCGTTTGCCCTCTGCTTTGCCTTAGCTACTTCCCTCTTTGCTCTACGTCCCATTTCCTTTTATGCCTGTCTCCTCTCTTCAGTCCTCTCACTGTCATATTTCTTCTTGGCTAATCTCTTTCTTTGAACAGCGTCCTGCACTTCACTATTCCACCACCAGGTTTCCTTATCATCCATTCTCTGTCCAGATGACACACCAATGCCCCTTTTCCATTAGTACCTGTACGGGCCGGTACAGCACGGCTCTACTCTACTCGGTACGGTACAGGTTGTGTTTCCATTATGCTTTCAGTACCAGTTCCAGTGGGCGGGGTTCAAATTGACGTCACCACCTCTCACCAGCTGGTGGCGCTGAGACGCAGAAACTGTTTTCAGTACAGGTTGAGAATTTATGTTATTTTGAAGTTGTGTGTATGTATATGTGTATGTACATGTGTATAAATATATATATAGATATAGATATATATATATATCTATATATATATACACATCTATATCTATATATATTTATACACACACACACAAATATATATGTACACACATATGTGTATATATATATATATGTGTGTATATATATATATATATACACACACACACACACATATATATATATATATCATATGTGATATATAGATATATGTATATCACATATGTATATACACACAATTATGTATATATATATGTATATATATACACATATGTATTTATATACATATATATGTATTTATATACATATATATGTATTCATATATATTTATATACATATATATGTATTTATATATATTTATATACATATGTATTTATATATATTCATATATATTTATATACATATATATATATATATATACATATATATTTATCTATATATATTTATATATATAAATATATATAAATGTATATAAATTAAAACTTTGATGAACCAGATTCTACAAAAACATTACATTTAAATTTGTGTAGGTTTTCATCATCATTTGATGTATTTGCACTCATTGTGTCTACTTTTAATGTTCATTTTAAACGTGTGGTTTTTTTTCTTGTTCACGTATATACATTTTATTTTTAGCTTTGCTTTAAAGTTCTTGTTTTGTGATTTGTACATTTGTGAGTTAAAATAAAGTTGAACTGAAGGTCGTCTCTTCTTTAAACATGTTTGAGGGAAATATTCCTGAGATCCAATAGTTTTGTGTCTTTTTATGATTTTCAGCTGAGTTAACAGTCATTAAATTGAAAACAGGATTTCACGATGAAGCTGGCACCGTTTCTATTTTATTTTATTTTTTTTAATCTTCAACGCTCTGCTGGTCTCACTGATCCTCTCCTCCGGAGAGGAGGAGGCTGGGAGGCTCATCCTCCCAGCTCCAGCTCAGCTGGTGACTCCAGAGGCCGTTCCAAGACCCCAGCCGCGCGTAATCATGAAGGTCTGACCCGCGCAGACAGGCGGACAGAGACGGGTCTGCGACAAATGGTGGAAGCGATTTAAAAAAACATTTTATGTGTAAAAAAACAAAACAAAAACATTTTTAAATTGCTTCAGCAATTTTTTAAAACATTTTTTGTATAAAAACAAATTTTTTTTTATTTAAAAATCGCTTCCAGCGTCCGTCCTAGACTGTCCAGTCCGCCTGACTGCCGGGTGGGATCGGGATTCAGCCTTCATGATTACGCGCGGCCGGGGTCTGGCAACGGCCATCTGCAAGTCCCCATCTCCAGCTTCGCAGTGACCAGCGGAGCTCTGAGCACACAAGGCTGGTATCCGGAACCCGAGCCTCCGAGTCGGCACATCGAAGGATCTTCCGCGGTGACCAGCTGAACTTGGAGCCGGGGAGATGACGCCCTGCCCGGTCTGGCGCTCGGAGGCTCCGGAGGGAGGATCGGGGTACACCAGCAGAGCTCCATCCAGCTTGCTCTGAATTATGTTGTCGGCCACCAAGCACAAAAAATGCCAGCACATCAGCATTAGACCAAGATGTTGTCAGTATTGTTTTTAAAATCTTTAAAATAAGTCCAGCCGCTGCTCCAGTCCGAGAAATTACAAATGGCGGATTATTGTTTTGAAACGTTTCTGAAGGATCCAGTGACTCCGCCCCCGACTCCGCCCCCGACCAATCAGTGACCGACAGTGTTCTGACGTCACGTTTTTGTACCTCTTCGTACCGGTTAGAACCACAGAGCCAAGGGTACTGAAAATAGTAACAGGTGCTATGTACTGGTACTAATGGAAAAGCCTCAGAACCGGGCCAAGTAGGGTCAAGTCGGCCCGTACCGGTACTAATGGAAAAGGGGCACAAGTACCTTCCTACCTGTCTCTCTAATTACTGTTGCTGTAGTAGCCCAGTCATTTGGAAGCTCTTTCTTACTACCCAGAGCCTTTAACGGCTCCTCTCTGAATTTCTCACAACATTCTTCCTTCTTCATCTTCCACCATTTGGTCTTCTTCTCTGATTTTACTCTTTTTCTCTTCTTCACAACAACAGTCATTTTACACACAACCATCCGATGCTGTCTGGCCACACTCTCCCCTGCCACAACCTTACAGTCTCCAATCTCCCTCAGGTTTCCTCTTCTACACAGAATGTAGTCGACCTGCATACTCCTTCCTCCACTCTTATAGGTCACTCTATGTTCCTCCCTCTTTTGGAAATAGGTATTGACTATAGCCATTTCCATTCTCTTGGCAAAATCTACCACCATCTGTCCTTCCTAGTTTTTTTCCTTGACACCAAACCTACCCATCTCTTCCTCATCCCCTCTGTTTCCTTCCCCAACATGTCCATTCAGGTCTGCTCCGATCACCACTCTCTCCTCCCTGGGAATACTCTCTATCACTTCATCCAGATCTTTCCAAAATGTATCTTTCTCCTCATCAAATCTAACCTGTGGAGCATAACCACTGACGATGTTGAGCATCAGACCTTCTACTTCTACCTTCGGGCACATCACCCTATCTGACACTCTCTTCACCTCTACTACATTCTTTGCCAACTCCTCCTTTAGGACCACACCTGCCCCATTTCTCTTTCTATCCACACCATGGTACTGTAGTGAACTAAGCCTCAGGTCAAAAACCTGACCCTGAGGGCCTTCCTGGGACAGGAACTGTTATTTCATTGATTTGAGTCCAGAAACACAAATTAAGCTCATCCAGAGACTTTCTAAGGGTGTCCTGCACTAATCAATTGAAAGAACACTCTCTTTCATATTATCATTACTATTTTACAAATGTCTTTGGAGGGGGAGTGGTGGCGCAAAGGTTAGAGAGGTGGGCTTGTGATCCGAAGATCGCCGGTTCACGCCCCGGCCCCGACAACATCAAAATTGTGGGTGGGGTAGGTGAAACACCCACACTTGCCCCCACCCTCATTCGCCCCACTCTGGGCCCATGAGCAAGGCCCTTAACCCCCACCATGTGCTCCCTAAAAAAAAACAGGTCTCTCTTGCAAATGAGTTCTCGTGGCTCAATGAGACTAACCTGGATAAATAAAGGCTAAATAAATAAAAATAATCAAAAGTGTGTTTAGTTCAAACCATTTTAAATGTTGAAGTGAACCACTCATTTTAAATCAACTGTGAAACAGTATTAATGATTTTTAATCCTCATTCAAAGTAGAAATCAAGTTAAAATGCCTGTTACAAGTAATTATGCATTTTTTTGATCTTC